GGCTAGGGCCAGCCACTCAGGGGTGCTTCCCAGGCTGGCTGCCTGAATTGGCAGGGTTTGGTGCTGGCCTTGGCATTGCCAGCTGCTGAGTTGTCGTTCACCAGGCCAGTCCCATGCTTCCTTGCCTGCAGGCTCCTGGTGCCCAGTGGCACTGTATAAACAAAAGCAGAACAACCTCCCACCACCAAGCCCTACCCCCTCCTCCTCCTCTCCTCTACCTTTTTCTCCTCCTCCTTCTTTACCTCTTTCTCTTCCTTCTCTCCTACACCCTTTTCTCCTCCTCCTCTTCCACTTCCTTCTCTTTCTCTTCCTCCTCCTCCTGCTTTGGAACCAAAGAGTCTCTGCTACACACTCACTCACACCAAAGCCAGCTGTGAGGTACTGGCCCACCAAGTACCAGTACTCCCACCTGCCTGGCTGAGCTGAAGCTCTGGCCCAAGGATCTTCTCCTTGTAGTTTTTGCTCTCCTTGCCCCTATAGCCCTTCCAGGCTGCAGCAGAAGGAAACTGCCTGTAGGCTGGTGCTAGGCTCCCAGAGCCTTTGGTTCTCCTGCCCTCACTTGTGCAGGGGCTTGAGGGCTCTGCCTTCCTGGGGGTCCCCTAGAATAGTGTAGATGGATAATCTTGAAAACAGGCTGGACCATGTGGCCTCCTGTCTGCGGCATTACCTGTCTGTTGTACAGCTCTTCTTTGCCTGAGATGACTCCTTCAGGTAGGGCTGGTCCTGGGGAAGGCTCCTCCAGGCCCCACGTGGCCTGCGGGCCAGTTGGCATCTTTAGCTCAGAGCCCACAGGGTGGGCATTTGGGGGTGGCCAGATGATGGGGCTGATGAATGAGTCCCCAGCTCTACTTTCCTCAGCCTCTGCTGTGTTGGGGTCTTTGCCTGCAGCTGGTGCACCCCATGTGCTCGGTGGGGCAACCCCCCAGTTGTGTCTCTGGCACTTCAGTGCACTGTTGGCCTTCACTGAGTCCCATGTAGCTTGGTGAGTGGAGTCTTTTTCATCTGGCAGAGGATGAGGGGGCTCAGCCTGGGCATGGCTTCTTTGCCCCTCTACCCCACTCAAGTCCCCTGCTGTTTCTGTGGGCTGCCCCTTTCCCTTTTTCCAATATCTCTTTTGTTTCCTCTGCCTGAAATAAGAAGAGGTGCCTTGTTCTCCTGAGCCTACTTGGCTTTGGGCTTGGGATGGCTCTTTTCCCAAGCCCTGTTCCCATTTCCCGACTCCATTGCAGCCTGTCTCTTCTGCTTTACCAAGAGCGGGTTTGGAGGGTTGCTACACTGTGCCCTGATGTGGCCATCTTCTCCACAGCTATAGCAGAATGTGTGATGTTTCCGTTTTCCTGAACCTTGGGAGCTGGCCCTTAGCACACGCCCCCTTCGATGCTGTCCTCTGCCTCTCCTGCGCCGGGAACCTTGGGAAGGCCTGGCCTGAAGAGTGCTGCCAGGGGCAGCAAAAGACACTGCTCTGAGAGCATTGGCTCTGGCAGATGGCCTTACTCCTGCATCCAGCCCCTGTAGCCTCCCCCTTTCTGGACCAAAAGTGGCCTCCCACTCCTCCTCCTCACGCAGGAGCTTCACCAGTGCCAGAAAGCCAGGTGGTTTCCTTCGCTGTTTCATCAACTTAAGCCTGTCTCGAAGTTTGTCAGTAAGGGTAGCCCCACTTAAGACTTGTTTCAGGCGAGCCTGATTCACATTCCTTCGCAATACTGCATTTTTTTCTACAGCTCTTTGGAGCAGGGGTTCTAAACGCAACACAAAGCTGGAGACTTTCTCTCCCACCTCCTGATAGGCCTTATAAAATTTCACATGGGCGATTTTACGACTTTCCACAGGTCCAAATACCTGTTGCAGGGCTGCCAGGCACTCCTCCACAGTTATGGCAGCATTGTTAGCCCGGAGCCCACTGACCACCTGCAGAGCAGGGCCCCGCAAGCATTCCATCAGCCGCCGCCTCTTTTCACCCTCAGGCACCTGCCACATCTGTAGCACCTCAGTGGTGTGCTCAAGCCAGGCTTCAAAGGCCAATGCCCCTGGGATGGACACAGTGTTCCCAGAAAAGACTCTTAGTTCTCTGTACATTTGTTCTAGCAGAGGCTGCACTGCTGCCCCCAGGGTCTGGGCCCAGGTCCAGAAGTCAGGTGATATGGCCACTCTTGGAGCAGGGCAGTTGGTGTCTGATCCAAGCACTCTGTTCATATCTGACACTGTCCGCCTCTCCTCCTCTAAGAAGCGGTTCAGTCTATTGAGAAATTCCCCATCTGAGTTCCGAGGTTTTACAACCACTTCCCAGGGCCCTCCCTTTCCGGGTATTTCCCTGGGGATCAAAGCATAGTCAATATCTTGGGCAAGCTCCAAGAGAAATGCTTGGGCATTCTCTTCCCTCCTGAACATCCTGCCAATGACCCTATACCTGCCCAGGTGCCTGAGAGCATCCTGAAGAGTCTCCTCAAATTCATCCTCACCACAGTCCTCAGGAATCCCCAGGATAAGCATGGACCTCTGCGTGTTCAGATGTTCCCCCCGACACCAATCCTGCAACAGGGTCAATGGCATGTCCCCAATCTCTGTGGAGCCTAATTTAGGGGATAATGATCACTGCGTGGTGCACATGTATCAGGCCAACTCCCAGGGCGACAGCAGACAGCCCAGATCTCCACAGCCTGTGAATACAAACGAGGCGAAAGCGAGGTTAAGCGCCCCCCCCCCCCCCCCCCCGCCGCCCCCCCCCCCCAGGTGACCCTCCTCCCCCGGGGCGGTGCCTTTGCCGCCCAGGCTAGACCCCTGCCCCTCCTTCCACCCGCCCGCCGGGGCCACGGCCCCCTCCCCACCGCGTCCCTCTCGCCCCCGCGGGCTGCCGCAGTCCTACTGGGGCGGGCGGAGGGCAGGCGGCGGGCGGGCGGGTCTCCTGGAGGGCTGAGCGCACCCTCCCCGGTTCTGGTACCTACCTTCCTCTGGGTCGGGGTCCTTCCTCTTCGAGGTCCCAGCAGGTGGGGCGCAGGGGCTGCGCCGAGCGGCAGCGGGGTCGTGCGCCCCTCTTTTCCTGGCTGCCTCTCACTCCCTCTCCTTCTTCCTCTCCCTGTCCCTCTCTCAGCGCGGCACTTGGGCTAGAGCGCCGGCGCCTGCTCGCCACCACTCTCTGCAGTGCGGACTCGGGGCGGGGGCGCAGTGGCGGCGGAGCGCGGACCCTCCGCGTCGCCCCGGAGACCGCCGGGCCATTGGCGCGCGCGGGTCACGCGGCCAGGCTGTGGCCACCGCCGCGGGCACCCCGGGACTGCGCGTGACGTCACCTGCTCCTTCCCCCGCCCCCGAGGGGGCGCTGGCACAGGTGGGGATCCTGGGGACCCGAGAGCCAGTGCCCCCATCCTGGACCCAACCCTGCCCACCTCCCGCCCCTCCCGGAACATGCTCTCGGGGCGTCAGCCTGGCGAGGGGTCCATATCCCCGGGTGCCCACCAGAGAGCCGCTGGGCAGGCCCGAGATGCGCCCGCCAGCGCTGCATTCTGGCATGGGTGGAGCGCGGGATGGGGGCGCGTTCTGGGGCTCCTTCACCTGTTTCCGCCCCTCCTCCACTCCACCCAGACCGGGTCCTGTCCCAGCTAGGCGAGAAGCACTTCCTCCGGGTGCTACTACGTGGAATAGATGCCACCTGCGCACATGAGCGCTCGCACACACCACCGCAACCAGGGGTCAGCAGTCCCCATACTCGCGCGGGGGCCGTGGCCGCTGTGGGCACACGACGGGCCAAGATGCGTCGCTGCCCCAGTGCCAGGGCCCTGCCCCAAAGAGGGTGACCCAGTGTACTGGTTTGCTTGGTCCTTTTCCATTTTGAGTGCTGCAAGTCCACTGTCTGGAAAAGAAAGCACTCCATTTGGAGCCCAATCCCTTGGACCTGCCTTTTCGTGATGGCATTGGGCTGTGGGTTGTACTGCATCTGTAGGGTCCCAGTGGTATCAGAAAGAGGAAAGGAATGATTGCCCTTCAGGCAAAAGGTCCAGTGGTCTGTGCTCCTGTCTGCTCTGCCAACTACATCCTCACCTCCTGTGTGCAGAGCTCTCCCAAGCTACAGAAGGAGGGACCTGTGGTGGATGCCCAGGTTAGGCTCACCCATCCAGCCAAGTCTGGAGAGACACCTTGTACTGGGTGTGGCATAGAACTCTTCACTTGCTGCTATAAACATTGGGGTACAAGTGCCCCTTAAATACTGAGAACAAACTGAGTGTTGATGGGGGTGGGGGAGAGGGGAAAGTGGGTGATAGGCATTGAGGAGGGCACCTGTTGAGATGAGCACTGGGTGTTGTATGGAAACTAATTTGACAATAAATTATATTTAATATATAAAAAAAGAACTGTTCACTTGCATTCCCACTCCACATTGTGATGATGCATTCTGTTTGCCTGACAGGGACCATGTAATAATGACCTCTAAGTGCTTTTCTCTGCTCAAACTGGATAAACGTTCCTACCATGACTTCATAAAACTTATTTCTTTTACCTCTCACCAGAATCCTGAGAGGTAGGTATTAGCATCCTTATTTGACTCATGAGGCTCAGAGAGGTGAAGGGACATATACAAAAGCATGCACCTTAATGCAGGTGGAATTGAAATTAGATTCTAAATTGGTCCCCATAACCCTTTGAGTAGACTTGGGACTATTTCTATTCTGGTTATGTCATCCACATTAGAATTACTTCCCTTATTTCTGTCCACTCACAGTCCATGTGAGGAGGAAAAATCCTCCTCATATTTACTAGAGAGTAAATTGGCTCAACTTTAGATTTGTAGGTTTCCTTCTATTCAATCATGTAGGAAAATGGGAAAATTGTTAAAAATTGTTTTTCTCAAAAGTGGTGATTCACTTTCTATGGCATATGGAATGGGACTACTCAGGGGTGCTTTGAAAGTCTACCATGTGTATCTTTTTTTCTTAAAAACATCTAAGTTACTCAAAATCCATGTCTCTTATAAAACACTTGGTTGCCAATTTCCAAATCAGCTTTTTGTGATCCTGGGATGGCAATGAAATAGCATAGTTATCTGGAAGACTACATACAGTTCCCAGTTTTGCCACTCAGAGGACTTAACCATCTACTCAACTTACAGAAGCAGAAATGAGTCTCAGTGAAGGAACACAACCAGCCCAAAATGACACAATGAGTAAATGGCAAAGTTATGAGACATCAAGGGGAGATGCAAAGGCATCTCCAAGGAAAAAGGGGACATTCAGAATTTCTCTGGGAAAAGGCATGTAGAGTTCCCAGCCAGGTGCAATGCAGCAGATCTGTGGATATCCTGGATGTCAGGAAAGAGTGATTTGGAGACACCAGGGTTGAAGTGATATATTTCAATATGCTTGGTTTGAAAGTTTTTGAACCCTTTTGTAATTGGAGATAACCTTTCCTCTGGTTTTAGGGCCTCCTTGACTCTGTGCTCAAAGGATGGTAAAGAATAATGTCTCTTCTATTTAAATAGAAGGATTTTCAAGCCAGTAAAAATATCTTATTTGCTTTTATGTCTCCATTGCCTTGCATGGTTCTAGCACAAAGGCACTAAAATTGAGGAACTGGTAGATAAATTCCACTTATAAAGTGGAAAGTATAATAGAGCATGAAGGAGGCCACCTCCACTGGAGTGGCCTTCTCCTAGCTTAGACCAGTAGTGTCAGGGTTATTTAGAGAACAAATTCCTGAGCCCTACCTCTGGAGACTCTGATCTGCTGGGTCTGAGATAGACCTGGGATTTTTTTTTTTTACCAGAGTTTCTGGTAAGTAATACTATAAAAAATACATTCTACAACATTAAACATACAAAAGGTCATAAAAAGTACAACCAATACTTTGATACCTACTACCTAAGACGTAAAACACTGCCAGTGAAGTTAACCTCTTTGCATACTCCTTCCCAATAGCCTCTTGCTCTCTGCCCCATAGAGGGAAGCAATGTTATGCATTTGCATTTCTTTTGTATTTCCACTGCAAATAAATTTATCTTAAACAAGTGGAAGTATTGTGTTCTCGTGTTTTAAACTTTGTATAAATGGTATCATATTGTTGGTATTCACCCATCTAGTTAACTAATCATTGTTTGTGAGAATCACCATTTTGATACATGCAAGTTCGGTTCATCAATTTTCACTTCTGTATAATATTCCATTGTAGGGGTGTATGTATATTTATGTGTGTGTGTGTATACAAAAATGTACTTATAAGTTTTCACATTGATGGATATTTAAGTTGTTTCTCATTTTTAGTATCACAAATAATGCTTCTCTAAAATATTGTTGGAGAGTTTCACTATGGTACGTACCTAGCAGTGGCATTGCTGGGTCAAAGACTATTTTTAGTGTTAAGATACATTGTCAAACTGTTCTTCAGTTTGATATACCAATTTATACCTCTATCAATCTCCACATCATCACCAACATATTACGTGACTTAAATGTTGCCAATTTAGAGGGATGCCAATTGTTATTTCTTATGTTTTACTTTGAATTTCTCTGATTATAAATGAGGTTTAATACCTTAGTTAGGGGTCCATTTCTGATTCCTTTTGTTTGAAATTCTTACTAATCTTTCCCATTTCTTTATTGGAAGTTTCTCATTTTTATGCTTCATAGGAGTTCTTTGTGTAATCTGGAAACTTTTTCTATTTAAGTTACTTTTGTTGGTAACCAATTGGTAACCAATTACCCAAAGCATACTGGCTTACAACAACCATTTTATTTTGCTCACAATTTTGTGAGTTAGGAACTAGGGGAAAGTTTAGCTGGGCGGTTCTCACTTAGGGTTTCTCATGTAGTTGAAGATGTGAGCTGGGAATTTAATGATATGCAGGCATAACTGGGCTGGAAACCTAAGATGGCTCACTCACATGGCTGACATTGAATCGTATTTTGGGTATCACAGCCAATAACATTCTAAATGTTTACACACAGTCAGATAACAATACCTCCTCTGAATTACCATTCTTGGGTCAATGAAGTTTTTGCTGTGGACTATAATAAATTTCTGTGGGAGAATGCATGTATAGACAGAAATTACTCCCCTTAATTATTTAAGATAGCTATATGTTGGATTATATCCTCCCAAAATTCATATGGTGAAATCCTAACCTCCAGTATATCAGAATGTGGCCTTATTTGCAATTAAAGTCATTCATTGCAGATGTAATTATAAAAAAAGTTATGCAGCCATAATTTTGCATTATTTTGAATTAATAAACTTTATTTTTTAGAGCAAGTTTTGGTTCACAGCAAAATTGAGTGGGAAATATAGAAATTTCCTGTATACTCATTATTCCCCAACACACACAACCCCCTACACTATTGACATCTCACAATAGAGTGATACATTTATTACAATTACTCAAACTGGTTTACATTAAGTTGATTCTTAGTGTTGTACATCCTCTGGGTTTTGACAAATATAATGACATATATCCACCATTATAATATTATAAAAAGTAGTTTCATTGCCTTAAAAATCCTCTGTGTTCTGACCATTCATCCTTTCCTCCCCACTAAATCCTAGCAACCACTGATCTTTTTACTGTCTCCACAGTTTTGATTTTTTCAGAATGTCATGTAGCTGTAATTATATAGTATATATCCTTTTCAGATTGACTTCTTTTATTAAGTAATATACATTTAACATTTTTCCATGTCTTTTCATGACTTGATAACTCATTTCTTTTTAATGCTTAATAATTTTCCATTGTCTGGATGCACCATAGTTTATCCATTCAGCTACATATTTTTCTTTCTTTTACACATGACTTATTTTTAAAAATATTTTTGAATATATGAAATTTATTGTCAAATTGGTTTCCATACAACACCCAGTGCTCATCCCAAAAGATGCCCTCTTCAATACCCATCAGCCACCCCCCCTCCCTCCCACCACCCATCAACCCTCAGTTTGTTCTCAGTTTTTAAGAGTCTCTTATGCTTTGGCTCTCTCCCACTCTAACCTCTTTTTTTTTTTCTCCTTCCCCTCCCTCATGGGTTTCTGTTAAGTTTCTCAGGATCCACACAAGAGTGAAAACATATGGTATCTGTCTTTCTCTGTATGGCTTATTTCACTTAGCATCACACTCTCCAGTTCCATCCACGTTGCTACAAAGGGCCATATTTCATTCTTTCTCATTGCCACGTAGTACTCCATTGTGTATACAAACCACAATTTCTTTATCCATTCATCAGTTGATGGACATTTAGGCTCTTTCCATAATTTGGCTATTGTTGAGAGTGCTGCTATAAACATTGGGGTACAAGTGCCCCTATGCATCAGTACTCCTGTATCCCTTGGGTAAACTCTTAGAAGTGCTACTGCTGGGTCATAGGGTAGGTCTATTTTTAATTTTTTGAGGAACCTTCACACTGTTTTCCAGAGCGGCTGCACCAGTTTGCATTCCCACCAACAGTGCAAGAGGGTTCCCGTTTCTCCACATCCTCTCCAGCAGCTATAGTCTCCTGATTCGTTCATTTTGGTCACTCTGACTGGTGTGAGGTGATATGTGAGAGTGGTTTTTATTTGTATTTCCCTGATAAGGAGCGATGTTGAACATCATTTAATGTGCCTGTAGACCATCCGGATGTCTTCTTTAGAGAAGTGTCTATTCATGTTTTCTGCCCATTTCTTCACTGGATTGTTTTTCGGGTGTGGAGTTTGGTGAGCTCTTTATAGATTTTGGATACTAGCCCTTTGTCCGATATGTCATTTGCAAATATCTTTTCCCATTCCCTTGGTTGCCTTTTAGTTTTGTTGATTGTTTCCTTTGCTGTGCAGAAGCATTTTATCTTCATGAGGTCCCATTAGTTCATTTTTGCTTTTAATTCCCTTGCCTTTGGGGATGTGTCAAGTAAGAAATTGCTACGGCTGAGGTCAGAGAGGTCTTTTCCTGCTTTCTCCTCTAGTGTTTTGGTGGTTTCCTGTCTCACATTCAGGTCCTTTATCCATTTTCAGTTTATTTTTGTGAATGGTGTGAGAAAGTGGTCTAGTTTCAACCTTCTGCATGTTGCTGTCCAGTTCTCCCAGCACCATTTGTTACAGAGACTGTCTTTGTTCCATTGGATATTCTTTCCTGCTTTGTCAAAGATTAGTTGGCCATACTTTTGTGGGTCCAGTTCTGGGGTTTCTATTCTATTCCATTGGTCTATGTGTCTGTTTTTGTGCCAATACCATGCTGTCTTGATGATGACAGCTTTGTAGTAGAGGCTACAGTCTGGGATTGTGATGCCTCCTGCTTTGGTCTTCTTCTTCAAAATTACTTTGCCCATTTGGGGCCTTTTGTGGTTCCATATGAATTTTAGGATTGCTTGTTCTAGCTTCGAGAAGAATGCTGGTGCAATTTTGATTGGGATTGCATTGAATGTGTAGATAGCTTTGGGTAGTATTGACATTTTGACAATAGTTATTCTTCCGATCCATGAGCATGGAATGTTTTTCAATTTCTTTATATCTTCTTCAATTTCCTTCATAAGTTTTCTATAGTTTTCAGCATACAGATCTTTTACATCTTTGGTTAGATTTATTCCTAGGTATTTTATGCTTCTTGGTGCAATTGGGAATGGGATCAGTTTCTTTATTTGTCTTTCTGTTGTTTCATTATTAGTGTATAAGAATGCAACTGATTTCTGTACATTGATTTTGCATCCTTCAACTTTGCTGAATTCATGTATCACCACTTCTATCAGACTTTTGGTGGAGTCTATTGGGTTTTCCATGTATAATATCATGTCATCTGCAAAAAGTGAAAGCTTGACTTCATCTTTGCCAATTTTGATGCCTTTGATTTCCTTTTGTTGTCTGATTGCTGATGCTAGAACTTCCAACACTATGTTAAACAACAGCGGTGAGAGTGGACATCCCTGTTGTGCTCCTGATCTCGGGGGAAAAAGCTCTCAGTTTTTCCCCATTGAGGATGATGGTAGCTGTGGGCTTTTCATAAATGGCTTTTATGATGTTTAAGTATGGTTCTTCTATCCCGACTTTCTTGAGGGTTTTTATTAAAAAGGATGCTGAATTTTGTTAAATGCTTTTTCTGCATCGATTGACAGGATCATATGGTTCTTATCTTTTCTTTTATTAATGTGATGTATCACATTCATTGATTTGCGAATGTTGAACCAGCCCTGCATCCCAGGAATGAATCCCACTTGATCATGGTGAATAATTCTTTTTATATGCCATTGAATTCGATTTGCTAGTATCTTATTGAGAATTTTTGCATCCATATTAATCAAGGATATTGGCCTGTAGTTCTATTTTTTTACTGGGTCTCTGTCTGGTTTAGGAATCAAAGTAATACTGGCTTCATAGAGTGAATCTGAAAGTTTTCCTTCCCTTTCTATTTTTTGGAATACCTTGAGAAGGATAGGTATTAACTCTGCTTTAAACGTCTGGTGGAACTCCCCTGAGAAGCCATCTGGTCCTGGACTCTTATTTGTGGGGAGATTTTTGATGATTGATTCAATTTCTTTGTTGGTTATGGGTCTGTTCAAGCTTTCTATTTCCTCCTGATTGAGTTTTGGAAGTGTGTGGGTGTTTAGGAATTTGTCCATTTCTTCCAGGTTGTCCAGTTTGTTGGCATATGATTTTTCATAGTATTCCCTGATAATTGCTTGTATTTCTGAGGGATTGGTTGTAATAATTCCATTTTCATTCATGATTTTATCTATTTGGGTAATCTCCCTTTTCTTATTGAGAAGCCTGGCTAGAGGTTTATCGATTTTGTTTATTTTCTCAAAAAACCAACTCTTGGTTTCGTGGATCTGCTCTACAGTTTTTTTTTTAGATTCTATATTGTTTATTTCTCCTCTGATCTTTATTATTTCTCTTCTTCTGCTGGGTTTAGGCTGCCTTTGCTGTTCTGCTTCTATTTCCTTTAGGTGTGCTGTTACATTTTATGTTTGGGATTTTTCTTGTTTCTTGAGATAGGCCTGGATTGCAATGTATTTTCCTCTCAGGACTGCCTTCGCTGCATCCCAAAGCGTTTGGATTGTT